GAAAATAGGTTTTGAAAAATATTAGTTTTCTTTGGGAATTTAAAGTTTAGATTTAACTCTAATTCTAGAAGTCGAATCAACTCGTTCAGAAAAGTAAATCACCCCGAAGGATGAAAATAAAATTCCATAACGGTGTTAAGACTTAGAATCATGAAATTCATCTTGAATATCATGGCTAGATTCTAAAGAGAACTCCACACGGCCCCGAGGGGACAAGGTAAAGTTTAACTAAATAATCCAGTTATGGTATTCAAAGAATATAATTGTCAAATTCATATCCAAAGCCTTATCAAAGAAGGGTGTACCTCCCCAAAAGGAGATAACACCTTTCAATGATAATTCTTCTAATATGATAACGACAATCGATCTTTAACTTTTTTCCATGGAAATCTAAGAAGATTTTAAAAAAAGATTAATTTTGAAATCAGGTGTGTGGTTCCAAATCTCCTACGAGCGCAAGTCCTCATAGTTAATTACATCGTAGGGAGACAGAGTCCTCTACGAAAACTCTCGATTAAAATAAGAATGAAATTTTGTTAGATTTTCTAGGAGTGATATCAAAAAAAATCGAATAGAATCTTTTGGAAGATCAAAAGGGAATGGATTAAGGTTGAACATTTATTAACAGAATCGAGGGAAGAGAAGTAGGGGACCCTTTGAGATTCCAGAACCATCCGGAAGTGTCCCAACTTAATCTAAGTGTTGGGCTTTACATTTTAGGATTGAAAGGAAATTTTAATTGAAGTTGAGCATTTTATTAGAAATTTGGGATTATATTCCCAAAATTTGGGGTCTTATAATCAAACATCTGCCCCGGATCCTAAATCTATTTTGGACACTGGACCACAGTCGTCCGATCCTAACTAATGCAGTGCAATGCCTGGACTTACCCCGGCCTGGATTGGGGAGCCAGCTAACCACCTAATCGATTTAAAAGAGATGAGTCCGATCTTTTATGAAAGAGTGGTAGGGACGTTGTGCTTAAAGTTTTGGAGAATTGGGGCCGACGTCTAGAAATTTTCCTAATTGGCCCCTTTGACTTATGTTGAGTGCTAAAATGCTAAAACTGATGCATTTAAAACTTTTGACTCTTTTAATTTGTATCTAATACAATCCATGCTGGTCAACAACTTCCAAATCAAATATGCTTGAAATTTTAAAAACAGGCTTATAAAATAATTTTTTAGAAGACTGGACTTCCCCAGGTTCGGCACCTCATCCTCATAGGTCGGACTATTCGGACTCTACCCGCAAGCGGGGAAGGGTCTAAAACAAGGAAAGAAGAAATGCAGAAATATGCATGCGACCCCGGGGTCGAGCCCCGGCTAATTTCTTAGATTCGTTATCTTTCTATGTTATTTAGACTCACTAAAATTTTAGACTTTTAAAGTTATGAGTAGAAAACTTTGACACCCTCACGAGTATCACGTATCCAGGCGAAAACAAAAGCGGCACACAATCGCCAAAAAAACTAGGAAAAGAAGGCAATCCTAAAGGCAATCAATTCATCACATCAAATATTAACTAATTAATAAATGTCCATAGGCAAAGTTGCCTTGCTTATTACAAACCAGAGTTTTGCAGAAAGTAAAGTGGCCGGGCATCACTGACAACAACCCAAATTCTAAGCCTAGTAATGACGCAAGTAATTTTGAGTGGGATACTCCCAATCTTCAAGTCTTCAATCTTGTTCTTCTTTGGGCTCCTTTTCTTCGAGCTCCTTGAATTCTTTGAGGTAATCTACTCAAATGGATAAGAGGACACTTCCCTTTTAAGGAGAAGGCCACTTTTTCCTCTTTGGGTATAGGAGAAGTGTGATCCAAATTTGGATTTTCAAATGGAAAAAGGAATACTTCCCAAAAGGGCATCCTTTCCTCTTTGGAATCCAAGCTTTGGATCTATGTACCCCAACTCAAAATTAACTTTTACAACACTTGATAATTACACAAATTACATTTATATCA